GGATGCAGTAATTACACGACTGGGGTGTTTCTCCAACCCGCTTCCACAGGGCAGGGCCTGAGGGAGATACGTATGGGAGTACTCAAGTGTGCTTCAAGGGACCGCGAGGGAAGCAAAATTGCGGGTGGACACACCTCAGCTGCTGGGCAGCTGAAAATGAAAACGATAAGACAGATCCTGAGATGTAGCGCTGGCCACTGCAATGGTTTTGCCTGTGACCTTCGATGGAAGCAGAAGTCGGACTCTGGAGAAGCAGGATAGAAAAGAGTTCCTGAGGCTTTTGGTCCTTGAGGCTTGGAGAAGAGTCCTTAAAATCCCCTGCACAGCCAAGAAACAGTCTGTAGAGATTCTCAGTCATCCGGGTCATGGCGCTTTTTCAGGAGGCAACTGGAATTTCTGGTTTTATTTCTTTGGAGACATTTTGCTTCTCATTCAAGAAGCTTCTTCACCTCTGGCAGGTCAGGGGGGGAATGGAAGGATTTATATTCCTTGCAGACAGCTTGGTAATTGAGTAGGAATGGATTCCCAAGAGGGAAAAAATGGCACATTACAGGAACCGTTAGCACTACTCAGGTGACACTGAGGACACAGATAAACCTCCAAGTGCTTCACCGACCCTCCAAAACAAGGTTCTTCAAACTTGGCAGCTTTAAGACTTGTGGACTTCAACTCCAGTCCTGTTAGCTCAGGAATTCTGGGAGTTGAAGTCCACAAGTCTTAAAGCTGTCAAGTTTGAAGATCCTTGCTCTAAAAGGGATGCAAATGACCAGCTGTCTGCAAGGAGTATAAATCCTTCCATTCCTCACTAACCTGTCAGGGCTGAAGAAGCTCCTTGGATGAGAAGTGAAAAGTCTTCAAAGAAAAAAAACAAGAAAGTCCAGTTGCCTCCAGAAAAAGCACCTTTGGGACAGCCAAGAAATAGATATACAGGTAGTCCTCAACTTACAACAGTTCATTTAGTGACCATTTGAAGCGACAAAGGCACTGAAAAAAGTGACGTGTGACTGTTGCAAAGGTCCCCATGGGCGCACGATCAAAATTCAGATGCTTGGCAACTGACTCATATTTACGACAGTGTCATGTGATCGCCTCCTACGACCTTCTGACAAGCAACGTCTATGGGGAAGCCAGATTCCACTTCACAACCGCGTTACCGAACTGAACAATTGCAGTGATTCACTTAACCAGGGTGGCAAGGAAGGCCGTTAAATGGGCCCAAACTTACTTAACTGTCTCCCTTAGCGACAGAAATTGTGGGCTGAATTGTAGTCCTTAAGTCGAGGACTCAAACGATCCTAGCTTGGACCCATGGCTAGAAGACCCGGTTCTCTTAGAGTCGGCTCTGAGGCTAGGAAAGAGGACACGGCAGCAGGGTGGATGGACTCCATTAGGGGAGCCATGGATCTACCATGGGAAGATCTGAAGGGCCAGGCTGGAGACACGGGGTGTGAAGCCATGAGAGCTCCCTGGAGAGTCCATGAGGCTGGGAAAGATGGAAGAGAAGAGGAGAGGGGAGGGGAGAGGAGAGGGGGAGGGAAAGGGAGGGGGGAGAGGAGGGGAGAGAAGACAGGAGAGGAGGGGTATGAGGGGAGAGGGGGACCAACAACATGTTTAACTACAGTAGTGAAGGGTTCATTCTTAGGGGACATGAAGGCCCAGCTTGGGGGCAGCTTATCCTGGGGTGGGGGTGGGGGTGGAAATCTATCAATATGGTTGCTGAGTGATGACCCGGTCTTGATAGCACATGATCAATCATTCAGAGTGGACGAATAAGGACCAACATCACAAGAGATCCCTTGCTTTACAATTACAATATGATCTCCCTCCCTCCCCCCCACCTCTCTCTCACACACACACACACACGATCTGTGAGCTTCTTGGCTGAAATGAAAGGCCATTCAACGCCCTTAATATAAAACGTAACATTAAACTAACTCAAGAGATTTACATGGCAAGGCTCAATCGCGGTGGTCACGCTTGCTGGGAAAGTGTAAAAGAATGACTGCGGCACTTATGGTGCTGGTGACAGCTCACAGCTGAGCTCTGCAAGAGTTGTCACCTCTCCCTTTCCACGCAAATGGCAAAACCTGCCCATCCCAGAGAGCGGTGGGAACTGGTGAGCTTGACAGCCTCACCCAAAGCTCAAGGCAAAAGTCTCCTACTCAAAACAGGGCAAGGCCTTCCTGTTTGAGCTGGTTTTTGATCCGAGGGCATGTGGGGGAAGAAACGACGGCGTGTGGGGCTCCTGAAGCCTCTGCTTTCGTTCTGTGGGGAACTGGGGTGAGGAAGGGGAAATAGGCTTGCATTTTAAGACGCTATTCACCACCCTTCAGTCCTTCAGTCAAAACAAAACCGGTCTGTTGAGCAAGACGCCGCTAGCAAAAAGCTCCGGCATAGCCTCATATATAACAATCTCAGTATATAAGAAGGTCACATCAAGGGAGTGGGGGGGGGGGGGGGGGGGGGGGTAAAAAAACCCACAGGAAATATATGCAGAATCAAAAATAGCCATAACATAACTCGGATGGGGTGGTGCTAAAGGGAAGAGAAGTATCAGGGTCATCAGAGAGGGAGGGAGAAGAAATAAACTGGCTATTTAAGAGCTTGGTTTTCACGCACCGAGCCTTTCAAGTAGCCCATCGCGCAGCACCACCTACAGCTGTTTTTAGGGAGTGCAGCTTCTTGATTAAGAGGCCCAGCCTTGAAGCTCAGAAAAGGCAAGAGCTATGCTTGGATGTCTACCGCTAACGTCGGTCTTCAACTTGTGACCGTAACTGAACCCGGAATTATGGCCGCTAAGTCATAGCAGTTGTCAAGCGGGTGAGGGGACTGCGCCCAGTTTTACAGCCTTTCTTGCAGAGTTGTTAAGGGAACACGGAAGCCATTACAAAAACAGAGCTGTTGTTAAATGAACATCGCATTCACTAAGACAACCCACCGTATCTGGTGGGCTTTTTTTTTTTTTGGCAAAAACTGCAAGTAAATGCCGACTTCTGGCAAACAAACAAATAGTAATAATAAAAAAGCCTAAATCATGGTCACATGACGGGGAGGGGGATATACAGAGAGAGAGAAAGAGAAAGAGAATGGCCATAAATGCAGACTGGTTGCCAAGTGGCCAAAATGTGAACATGTGACCAAAATGTGAACATGTGACCGGAGGGGAGCGCGGGGTAAATGGGAACTTCAAAACCAGTTCATTAAGGACAAGTAGGACTCAAGTTATGACCACAATTGAGCCCAGAATTTATGTTGCTAAGTGAGAAATGTGCTAAGTGAGTTTTGACCCATTCCACAACTGTTCTTGCCACGTTTCTTAAGCGAATCATGGCAGTTGTTAAAGTAGCCACATGGGGGGTTAAGTGAATCTGGCCTCCCCAGTGGTCGCAAAAGGGGATTGCCAGGATCCCGGGATACTTGCAACCGTCATAAACATGAATCGGTTGTCAAGCATCCAAATGTAAAATCATGTGACCACGGGGATGCTGCAACGGTGAATTAAGTGTGAAAAGCGGTCATAAGTCACTTTTTGCAATACTGTTGTAACTTTGAATGATCACTAAATGAACTGTTGTAAGTCGAGGACTACCTTGCAGCTTTGGGGAGATCTGTCGTAATGTCCAATGGGTGACATGTTTGCTTCCTAGGAATCTCTGCAAATCTCTCTTCTTCCATCAGACAAATATGCCTCTATTACAATGAGGAGTAAATGCTGGCTTTTGGCAAAAATGTCGTAAATTGCGGTCACATGACCTCCGCAAACGTGGGTAGTTGCAGAGTGCTCCAACTGGGATCACATGACTGTGGGGTCGGTGGGTGGGGTCGGGGAACCTACTGAAACTTTTGGTATCTTTGGCAAGTAGCTTCGGGAGGCTGTTGTAAATCCAATGGTCACTAAGCAACCTGCTGTAAATCGAGGACTACCTTATCTGTCCCTGACCAAGGGACACCTTTGGCCTCAGTTCTTGGAAGTTCTTGAAGGCTGAAGAGAAGCACATTCTGCCCCTGCTAGCCAAAACTAAAGGACTGTCTGCATGTCTGACTGTGATGCAAACGTTTTCTACATCGTTATCTGTTCTTCCTAAGTCTTCTTGTAAATTGGCTGAATTATGTCTGGGAAGCAAACACTGACAGAGTTACAACAACTTGTGGTCAGGCAGAAGCCTGTAAGAGAGACAGTAGCAATTCATAGCCGGCACTTCCTTCCCCACCAAACTATTTTTTTCCATGGCCTTATATTATTATTATTATTATTATTATTATTATTATTATTATTATTATTATTATTATTATTATTATGCATCTCATCTGCTGCAATACTAGAAGTCTTCAGAGACACCTTAAAAACTATTTAAAAGGATTAAAGCACTGAAAACCCCTCCCGAAGAGGTAAAATACAAAAGTTTATTAAGCTAAATACATTAATAAATTGTGAGAGTTGGATTTTTTTCCTCCTCCCAAATTTAATTATTTTCAATGTTCTTTTACTAGTAAGGGGGAACAAAAGGGAATCGCTGAACTAATAGGAAGGCAACAGCTACTATTTCTATCCCAGTCTGGCCTCAAGCTGGATCTCTCAAGATATCCTAAAATACCACCGGCTTTACTCATTGAGGCTGATGGACGGAGTAGCGGAAACTCACACTGTGACTAAGTTGGGAATGATCTGATGAACTTTGTACCAATGCTCTTTGGACACAGAAAGCGAGAACAGGGATTTATAGATTATGAGAGCAGAGGGAGTTTCTCCATTAAAATGTACGGTTTTATGAAGCACTTACCTCTAAGCAAATCTGAGAGCGGAGGGCCACAATCCTCGGGAATTACATACTCTCCTTTTCCAATATTTTCAAATAATTTATAAATATTATCTCCCTCAAAAGGATAAAGGCCTGTCGTAATATTGTACCTGCAAGGGGTGCGGGAGGGAGTAAGGAAAGCAGAGAGAGAGGAAAGAAGAAACGATTAGATGCAGTTAAGAATTCTTCTCTGACCCAAATATGCTTTTTTCAAAGGCAACTGGACTCATTTTGGGTTTTTTGTTGTTGTTGTTGTCTGCGTCTCAAACTGAAACACTAATGGTTCGGGTAGTCTGCAATTTTTTTTCTGGAAATCCATTCATATTCCCACACCGTGTTTGAATGGTATTCCTTCCAAAATACGTAGTTAAATGTCTGTGGAGATTCTCGGTCATCCAGGTGACTTTTTCAAGAGACAACTAGACTCTTTTTTTCCCCCTTTGAAGATGTTTTGCTTCTTCAGTTCTGAAGAAGCTTCTTGGATGAGAAGCAAAACATCTTCAAGAAGGAAAAAAAAAAAAGTCCAGGTGTCTTTTGAAAAAGCAACTTTGGGACAACCATGACCTGGGATGGCTGAAAATCTCCACAGACAACCTCTCTCTGAGGGAGATGGGTGATTAAGAAATAGGAAGGAAGGAAGGAAGGAAGGAAGGAAGGAAGGAAGGAAGGAAGGAAGGAAGGAAGGAAGGAAGGAAGGAAGGAAAGGAAGCGAAAGTAAAGTGTTGGAGAGCAACCATCTCAGTCCAGAGGAGGGCTCAAGCCTGGACTCCCTACATAAATATAAGAGGCCAAGGTCTGACCAATATCCGAGTGTCTTTGTGTCCTATCGAGACTTTCCCAGGCGGATGCTGCCAGTCTGGGGAGATTCCTGTATTATAGGCAGAGAAAAAAACAAAGTAGTTAGTTTGAACTCTACATGTGTGGGTCTAGTGGTTCCCGCCTATAAGGGGTTATCTTACTCTTGTTTGAAGACTGCAGATCCTCCTGAATAGGCAGCGGATGCAGGCCTAGGAAAAAGTGAAGCCCCTTGCTATAAAAAGCACAGAGCCTGCTATACTGCTGCCAAGCGGATGAAATGTAGGTACTGATATTCACAGTGCAAGTTCCATTATTTTGTACTTGCACCATGATCTTGCATGCACCCACAGGGTGAGATTGCATCACCGTGCATGATTTGTCTCTTGTGGCAGCCCTCCTGAACGGGAGTCTGCCACCATCTAGTCTGGCAGGCAGCCCTCTTTGATGACCAAATTCACACCTGTAAGAGCCATGGCTCTGCCTTCCCTCAACTGATGATGCCTTATTTGGAACAGGAGGGGGGAGCGTGATTGGATAGCTCCAGACATCAACACAAGAGAATATTTATAGCTCAGGGTTGAACCATGGGGGTCCTTGGTGCTCCCGGAGCTTGTTTACTTGTGGACATTTCATTACCCAACTAGGTAACATCATCAGCGCTACTGAGTGTAGCTGACTACATGATGTTACCTATCAGGTAATGAAACGTCTGCAAGAAAACAAACAAGCTCAGAGAGCACCAAGTTATGAGAGCTATGACTCCAGTTATGAGAGGCGAAAGATCACCCCCTCGGTGCCACCACCTCCATTTTTCGACTGATGGTCTGCAGTTGAATGACTTTTCCTATATTTATTTCTGTAAGACAAAAGGTGAGTGGGAGACAGGCCATACAAGATGGAAGAAGAGGGACCATCTACATGTCCTTAGTGTACTGATAAGTATTAGAAGGGAGAACAAGGTTTCATACAAATCTGAAATTAATCTACAAATCTCTTCAGAACAGTTGAAGGGTAAAGATAAATGGAGTATCGTTCTGGAACACAAGGGATATTTACAAAGGGACTGTCTCTTTAAATTATTACCCCTGGTTAGCAGCTCAAGGAGTCCCATGGCTGACACCTTCACAACTGTCACAATCATTCTGCTGCTGGTATTAAGAGTTTGGGTCCTGCTTAGCATTCGCATTTACTTACAGCGTGACACCTGCTGACCAAATGTCTACTTTGAAGCCAGAAAAGGTATCAAGGCCGTTGGCAATTTCTGGAGGTTGAAAAGCTGGTGATCCCTGGCTGGTTCGGCACATGTCGTCCTCAGCAAATGGATGCAAGGCCTGTGACAAGCAGATAACAAACAGTCATTGCTTTGAGGGTGAAGGCACATGTCTTCAGCAGCAAATGGAAAATTGGGGGCAGCTGTGGGTTATTTATTTTTTTTAATGATTATTTCAGCAATGGTCATGATGTTCAACTGGCCAATATCAAACTTTCATTTTTTAAAAAAAGAAACATTAAAGGGGAGATTTAGCATTTTAAGGGCAGTAAACTTAACCCAGGAATAAACACATGTTATTTGTTGCTGAAAATCAGTGGGAAATCGCAAGCTAGCGTTTTGCAATTGACTACTGTGGTTCCGTTCTTCTATTTAGGGAAGGCTGGGGAATTCTGGGAGTTGAAGTCCACAGGTCTTAAAGTTGCTAAGATTTGACACTTCTGATCTAGGGGGTTCTGAGGGCCCCATGCAGCCCCACTAACTATCCCAGCCTCCGTGGTGTAGACTGGGAGTTTCTGCCTTACTCAGTTAAAAAAAAAATACTTCAGAGAAAGAATTAAGTTGTAAATACTTGAAAGCCATCGCCACCTAACGTCACTATGACCTGAGAAAAAGGGATCTGCCTTGGTTTGCCCAAATTTCCTGGGTTCTGGCTTTCAGTACAAACTGCTTGATGACTGAAGACAGCTGTCAACTGAAAAGCTTCAGAAGTTTAAGAATGAACATTGTCAACTTTGTTCTGTAATTTTTAGTTTTCAGATATATTGCAATTCCCCAGCTTGCACCTATCTGGCTGGCTGAGGAATTCTGGGAGTTGAAGTCCACAAGTCTTAAAGTTGCCAAGGTTGGACACCCCTAGTATAAAAGGTGTCCAACCAAGGGACAAGCAATCGGAGTCAGCCAACTGCCAGATGAAGGCCCGTAGCTGTGGGTTATCTTAAAGAGTTCTAAAGCAACTCTTCTAGGCAAATACTGACTTTTAATGAAAAGAAGAAAAGAAAAAAAAAGACCCTGAATTTAAGGTTGTGTCTCATCTCCTGCCTCAGAGGGGAAAATGGCAATATAGCATATAGCCGAGGTCCCCAACCCCCAGGCCAGCACTACCGGGCTGTGAACTGTTCAAAACCAGGCCACCCAAAGCAGCGGTCAAGCACATGCGCATTTTCCCCTGCATGAGCAGGCGTGTTCACGCATGCACGCTCCATTTGCACCAGTGGGGAGTATGCACACATGCCGTTCATGCGGAACCATCCCTTCCCTCTCCCCAACGCCGATCCGTAAAGCTGGAATGGTTGAGAAACTCTGGCATATAACAAATAGCAGTGTAACATATAGCGATAGCTCTTAAGATTTGTATACCGCTTCATAGTATTCTGTAGGCAGTTTACAGAGTCAGCCTGTTGCCCTCAACAATCTGGGTCCTTATTTTACTGACCTCAGACGGACGGAAGGCTGAGGCAACCTTGAGCCGGTCAGAATTGAACTCCTGGCAGTGAGCAGAGTTAGCCTGCAGTACTGCACTTTAAGTACTGACTTCCCATTTTAAATATTGGTGGTAAACTAATCTTTTCAGTGGATACTGCAGTCAAGGTGCAGCTAACATGCTCTGAACCTGCATGAAATCCAATGACCCTTCCAGTTAGAACCGGGTCGTCCAAAAGACCCAATGAGAACCTTCCAGGAAACCCTCATGCATTCTGCATGGCTGGTGCAGTGGTTAGAATGCAGTAACCGCAGCTTAAATCAGTGCTCACTCCCAGAGTTCAATCCTGACTGGCTCAAGGTTGACTCAGCCTTCCATCCTTTTGAGGTGGATAAAATGAGGACCCAGATTGTCGGGGGCCATAGGCTGACTCTGTATACTGCTTAGAAAGGGCTTTAAAGCACCGTGAAGCGGTATATAAGTCTAAGGGCTATTGATATTACCTGTTCCTGCTATGGCTCCCTAGTAATTCAGAGTGTTCTGGTCCTAGAGGAAGCATTTTAACTTGGAGAACCAGTAGCCAAAGATAGTCTTGTCCACCATAAATTTGCCCAATCCCATCTTAAAGCATCTGATTTGATAGCTATAGCAATTGACATTCGACATGGGAGTTCAAGAGCATACCTCTGCCACACCTAGATCTGATATCTTTAGAGTCCCGTTGGTTGTTAGCAGGAGATTTCCCGGCTTGATATCTTTGTGTACGATGCCCTGGCTGTGCAGATATTCCAAACCATCTATAAGTTGGCAAAAGTACCTGCATGAGGTATGAGGAGGAGGCAGAGGGGAAATGAGGTGGAAAAAAATCTGACGAACAAGCACAGTGCATTATCTACGTTATTAAGCAGTTAGGATTATCAACCGTGACTCAGAGACCGATTCTGACCAGGAATCTTGCAATGTTTGTGCGTATCAGGAACTTTGAAACAGAACAGTTACTGAGAATTTATAGAACGATGCTTGCATTATGTCATGAGCTGTCAGTTTGGTACAGTGGTTAAGGCAGAAGGCTAGAAGGTGGGAGACCATCAGTTCAATCTTGCCCTTAGCAACAAGCTAGGTGATTTTGGGCCAATCACCAGGAGACAATGCGTTCTAGTCCCGCTTTAGCTATGAAAACCAACTGGGTGACTTTGAGCCAATCACCAGGAGACTGGAAATTCTAGTCCCACCTGAGGCATGAAAGCCAGCTGGGTGACTTTGGGCCAATCTCTCTCTCTCCCTCCCTCCCCCCTAACCTACCTCACAGGGTTGTTGTTGTGGGGAAAACAGGATGAGGAGGGGGTGTTAGATATTTCCACAATCTTAAGTTTTATATATATATATATATGCTGTGACTCCGGGATTTGAATCTGGTCTGTCAGCAGATGTGAGCTCGAGTGAAGAGGATCTGGCACTGAGATTTGAGCCTGCATTGTTGAGTGATTTTGAAGGTAGCCAGGATGAGGAAGTGGACTTAGCTATGAGAGACGAACCTAATTTATTGAAGGTGTCCTCCCCCGAATCTCCCTCTCTGATTACACAGCAGCCAGGAACAGTTAATCAGGAAAACGTGCGAGAGGTTTCAAGTGCGGAGGAGGAGGGCTTTGAGGGATCTTGGCTTGATGTGAGAAATAGACGGAGATTGAGACGTCAATCTCAATTGGGAAAGAAGCGTCAAGCCAGTGATTAATGAGACTAACACGCCCCCTTTAGGGGATAAAAGGAAACGGATTGGCTTGAGAAATTTGCCAGAAGCCAAGTGTATTGTTGGAGCGAAAGAACTGTGAAGATTCTCTGAGGCATTGTGATTTATAGGCACTTCAGGATTGCCAAACAGATTTCGGAATTACTGCTAAGGACTGGAAAACCTCAGCAGTTAACTTTGTTGGGGTTTGTTTTTGGCTGCCTATATTTTGGGAACTTTAGAATTTTGATTGCTCACCTGTGGATACGGGTGGGACATAACATATATATATATATATATATATGGA